CAACCCCAGCCAGGTTATTGCCCACTCCACTTTCTCACCATCTAACTCCAGCCAGTCCCTGCTTTCCTCAACCCCCATCATTGGATCAAGCCTGTATTGCTAAGCTACTCCATGCAAGCTTCAGCCTTTGTATTTGACCACAGAGAACTAGGTGGGTGGGAAGAGCTGAGCATTTTTTAATAACTTTTTTTATCTTTACAACTTGGCTAAGCATTATACAGATGTCAGTCCTCAGTGACTGATATCAGAAATGAACTCTGGAAACATTTTTCTATATGTTTTTATTGGGAGATTCTTGTTTCTTTCATACGGTAAATTGACACCCTGCCACTTAACTGCCTGTTGTTGTCCTTCAGCAGTAGCTGAAATTCAGGGATTAGATTTTAGCTGGCTGATGAAATTTGAGCAGCAGGGAAACTAGTAGAAGCCTTCATTATGACCTCAATAAATGGAAGCATTTGTAGGTCAGGCATCCAGATAGCTCACTTTAATTTTTTTTAAATAAGCGTTATTGGCTACCTACAACAACTAATGGATTAGGGTTAAAATTGATAATTACATATTAGTAAGAAGGTGGTTGGACTTGTCTGTATGTAGGTGTCTTATCAGTTATCACATCAGCTTGTGGTGTATATCTTTCCTAGGAGATGGGAATGATGTGGGTTCTGAGCCTTTCTTACATTTTTTAAACAAAAATTGGCTTTAAATATTACATGCAGATGTGACCAACTGTTTTTCACTTCCTAGCAAAACCTTGAAAGCCACCTGATGTCTCCTTCTGAGATCCCAAACCAGCCTCTATCAAAGAATATTCTGCAGGTATTTTTCAAACTTCCAGGTGAATTTAAATATGCAAATACAGCCACCACTAAGAGTAAAAGCGAATTCCAGAATTGGACTTTCTGGTGTATTTGGGGCTTGTAATGGATATTAGCATCATACGTGATTCATTCACATTCAAAGAAAGTGTATGGGAGAAACAAATTGCTGTACAGAGTTCTCTAGGAACTTTGAGGGGAAAAATACCTACCCAGTAGAACTCTTAATAAGCAAATATTAATACTTAAGTAACCCTTCTTAGTAAAGGGAAAACTTGGTGAGACTGTTCTAAACTTGGTCCAGGTCTTTAGATGCCTTTTTAAAAGGAAAACTGATGAAGAAAGCTTTGCATTTGAAAGTGTGTCTAACTTGATCCCAATAACATAGTTCTTCCAGTAGAAGATGCCACCCTAAGAAATCTGTGCTGTTTTTTAAATGCAAGTAGCTTATGCCCCTGTTGTCTTGTGTTGCTGGATAGTAACTTAGGAAACTACTATAGTCTGCAGTGTCTAAAAAGATTGTTTATTATGTCCTTAAGTTTGTTTAAAGGGGTTATCTGAACCAGCTCTTCATTGCTTCTTCTAAGGCTCTTCTGGGTCCACCTATTGCCAGACCTTCATCCAATGTTTTAAGTGGCCTGATAGGTGGCTTGGAACCAGCACCATCTTTACTGGGACAAAGAGCACCTTCTCCTCCTATTTCACAGGTTTTTCCCACTAGAGCTGCTTCTGCAGACTATCTGCGTCACAGGATTCCTTCACCAATTGGTAAGTGAGACAAGGTATAAAATGTGCAATTTCTTTGTAGAGCAGTAGAGACCTGTTTCTTGTGAAACCAGAGTTTTAAAGAACAGTTGAGTTGACACTAATTCAGCATTTGATGGATGATGACTAACTTAAGATCCACTTCTTCAGGTATCTATATAATTTAGCAATGTGAAGTTTAAAATATCAGTGAAGATAAGGTACTTGCAGCTAAAGTTTGAACTTGTATGGGAAAGTGGTTTAATGCAAACTGCTAATCTTAATTTAAACCAAGGTATCTTGTCTTTTTACAGTAAACTTGAGCTGTCCAATATGCTTTTCTACACTGTAGATATGACAAGTCTCATCTTTCCTTTTTGAAGGTGAATATCTACTACGGATTTAAAAGTCCATACCCAGCTTGACCAGGGTGCATCATGATTTAATGCTGCAAGTTGAGGAGCAACTTTTTAAATGTAATAACACTGCAAACCAAGCTGCTCATCCACTATGAATAAGCAGTACTAGTTATTCTTTAGGCATTAGTTGCTCTGCATTGCCAAAACGGCAGAAGCTTGTAGCTCACTCCACAGGGAAGCAGAGCAGGATGCCTTGATTCTGAACAGGTCTTACTAAACAAGTGGTGCTGAGAAGATCCTCAGTCATTTAATTTGGAAAAGAGAAGATGTGGGGGGTGGGGAGGCAGAGGAGAAGAAATTAGATTAGTCGACAGGTAACTAGTCTATCAACCTCCATATACCCAAAGATTAGACTATTCTGTGGCTGCGGGGGATGGGACAAACTTCTTAAGGTGCAGCAACAGAACTTAACTTGAGGCTGGATATTGGGAAGAATTATTTCACTATAAAGGTGGTTAAGCACTGAGAAGATTCTACAGCCTCTGTCCTTGGAAGCTTAACAACAGGTTATTTGGGCACTTGCCTAAGTTTTACATGAGTGATCCTGCCTTGAGCAAGGGATCAGACTTGATGACTTCCGAGGTTTATTCCAGCCCTACTTACTTAAAATTCTCTCTGTTTTTTTCCTAAAAGTCCCTGGTAGGTACCTTTCAAAGGAAAGTAATAGTTTGGCAGCTGAAATCGGTGGAGGACACAAAGCTGTCTTACTTTGTAGGTGTCAAGTTGTTTGTAACTTCCCTGTAGGTTTTGGACCTGGTTCTCAGCAGTTGCTTGGTGATCCATTTCAGGGGATGCGGAAATCTATGAGCCCAGTTGCTGCACAGGTTAGATCAAGTGGTTTCTTTATTCAAGAAGCATTTATCTGCTGTCTTTGCAATCTCTTGCCAGACTTAACTAAGCTTTGTGGGATTGCATAGGGATGGAGTAAGTGTTGAATTTTTCCATATTGGAAGACAAATGAAGATGTCCATATGTATACTATAAATGCTGTGCTTATCTCTTCTTATTGATTTTTTTTTGTTTTGTTTTGTTTTTTTTTTGGTTGGATCATAGTACTTGGTGCTCTGTTCTTATGAGGCTTTTCCATAGTCTTGGGGAAACTCTATAACAGTCCATGTAGATCCATGATTGTTGGCCTTCTTAGAATCTTACACCCCTCCACAACTTTTTGAATTTAGTGGTACCACATTTAATTTTTTTAAATTTTATTACTGTGGGGAGAGGGGTTGTTTGGCTCTTTCTTGTTTTTCAGTTTTAAAAACCAATTCTTAAGCTGGAAAGAACATACATAAATAATAGTTATTAATACAGTATTCTATAATACTTTAGCTAATGCCAGTCTGGTGGTACCCCAGTTGACAGTCACTGCTTTTAAAAAGATAGATTATGGCTCCTGTTGTCGCTACACTGTCACTGGGGTCTGAACACCCCAAATCTTTAATGTACTTATCCCTGGAGAAGTTATGAGGCATGGGCTAAAGTCAGATTCCATCTCACTCTGAAAATGCTGAATGGCATATAAGGGCTTAAATGTGAAGTCTGGAAATCTTGAATTTTAATACAAAATAAAATTCTCTAGGAGTGAGGACTTTGCGTGGAAAAGATTGAAAATGTAAATCACAAGCTTCCCCATCTTAAAAACTGCTCCTTTTTAGCACACTACCTAAAAAGGGAGGGGAGAAGCAGAGTGCAAAGGAAAATTTTAAGTGAAGGGGCAGCTCTGTAAAATGAAGGAAAGGGGAGTCTCTCCCTGTAGGATGGAGATTCCATAGCAAGGACCCAACCACCTGCAAAGACAAATTGCTGGCTGGCATGGTGTAGTGTGGTACAGCACAGCCCAGTAGCAGCTTCCTCCAGCTTGCCCCAGGCCCTAATTGCAAACTCCCTCCTGGAGTGGGGCCTCCCACATATCCTTCAGAGCTCCTCCCCTTCCACCCACTTTTTTTACTTCCCTTTCCTGTAACAGGCTACAGCTCAGAGTTGAAAGGCAGATGCTGCCTCTTGGTCTTAAGAGAGCTGATTCCTGTCCCCAAACACTTCCAGGTCTAATCCTGTTGGCATGTCCTGGCAACAGAGGTGCGACTAGATAGTTCAGTCTACAAGCAGTGCAGCACCCCTGAAAGCATGTTGAGCACCCCAAGGTGCTGTGGCTGCCTGGCTGAGAATTGCAATATGGACAAATTGGAGATATTAACTTGGTGACATATCTAATGATCAGACTATCTTAAAGCAGGTGTCAAAATGTTTTCCTGCTAGCTTGCTTTTAAATGTTTCAAGGGAATAATACAAGAATTGGCATAGAAAATGCAGGGTTTCTGATTCTGCATCTCCTGCTTGGCTTCAGATGAGTCCACTGGAGTTGCAACAAGCTGCATTAGAAGGACTAGCACTACCACATGATCTGGCCATGCAGGCAGCAAACTTCTACCAGCCTGGTTTTGGCAAACCACAAATGGACAAAAGCAGAGATGGCTACAGGAACAGGTGAGAATAAACTGTTTTTACAGTTGATGAAATACAGTACTTCATAGAGCAAGCTATTAATCACTTCTGGGCACATTTCCTTTTAGTTGGAGACCTTTTTGTTGTTCATTACCCTCCTCTAGAATACAAGTACAAATGAATAGAGGTTGTAAAGAAACATTCTAGACGCTATTACCAGGAATAGTAGTTCTGTTGACTATGAAAATAAATGTTAAGAGAATTAAAATGCTCTGCCTAACAGTTTTAGGATTTCAGCATTTGGAGTCATTGGAGAGGTAGTCCAACTAAATCATTCACACACAAACTTTAGTAATAGTGATCTCTGACCTCCTCCTAATTAACAAATTGGTCTTGGTCCTAGTGTGAAATATATCTCTAGCCAGGTAAAACCGTTCTCTACCTGTAGCCTTGGTATGTACAGTTTCACAGCGCTGTCCTTGCAAGTCCATTTATCTGGCACAAGACACAAATATGTAGTTAAACCCTGTAAGGAAAGGGCAGTAAGCCTTTCTGCTATTCTTCCTATAAGGACTGTACTCCAGAGGAGTGCAGTAAATGTAGACGCATCTATTCTGCTTAGCTGATGTACTGTGTGGTGCTGTACTAAGATGCTGTTCATGTGATTCTACTAAACCAGAAGTAGTGTAGCTGCTCTAGTGTAGTGCTGTGCTTGTACCAAGAATCTCTGCTTTGCAGCAAGGGCACAACTAACTGGTCAAGTTCTGCAGGAGGGCAGAGACCTCATCTTCCCAAGCCTTACATGGCTGACAACTCCAGTATTTCCATAAAGAACACTGCACAAAAGTAAAAATAGAAATAAGAATAGGTCTTACAGCCATCTAATGAACATGACTGGTATGCTTCCAGACTCTTCAGCTGTTAAGAGTCCTAATCTGACTAAACAGGTTTTAAACTAAATCTTCTTGGCTTAAGCTAATGATAAATTGACCTGGTGTTCTACACTTGAGCTGAGTAACTTGAATGTTGCTTCCCCAAACTGATGCGAGTGCCATGCGCTGAGACCTGCGAAAGTTGGCATAGAAAAGGTGAAAAGCAGGTTGCTACCTTTAGTCTCTAACTTTGTCTCTGTAGGCAGCAGCGAGTGACTAAATCTCCTGCACCAGGCCACAGAGGGAATGCATCATCTCCGGCCCCTTCTGCATCCATCACCAGCATGGTGAGTGTTTTTAGATCAAGAGCACATGCTCAAATTTGTGTAATGTGGAGAAGAGGATTTAAAGTTAAAACAGTGCACTAACATGTCGTTTTCCAAAAGTCACAAATACTAAATGGGCTGTAAAACAAATGAAGATCCAGCTGTTTTGGCTAGGAAGCTAGTTACTGGTGCATCTAGTGGTCAAGAAAAATATGGTCTTCAAGAACCAGCAGTTCTAGTTTCTTAATCTCATTGGATTGACTCCTAGATTTACAGAAAAAAAAAGTTTTCAGCCTTCTGATTTTTTTTTTTTTTGTATCTTTTTGGGGGGGTAGAGACTGCCCACAAAGGCCTCTGTTTTCATAAGTGGCTTTTTAATGTAATTTTGAGATTTGGCTTTCTTTTTTAGAAAGTTCATTAGATAACCTTAATGTAAACCATGTTAAATAGTGAAATTACTAGCCACCCCTGAAAATTTCTGACTCTGAAAATGTCAGACAAGTTTTAATACTGTAAACTCATGTAAGACTAATTGGTCACGAGATTACCTTAATCTGCTTTTCAGTATATTCTTCAGTCAATCACTTGACATGTATAAAGAAATATCTTCTCTGAGCTGAAGAGCATGCTTTCCTTACCAGTCTCCAGAGGGTTTGCTGGTCTGTGGCTAAGAACAAGCAGACTAGTTAGCAGCTGGACATGTCATCTACAGCAGACATATAAGGCTGCTTGCAGACTTAAGTAAACCACTTTTTTTTTACTTGGAGAAATGCAAAACTCTAGAATTCTTGGTTCAGAGATGATACCTCTTTTTATTAGACCAACTAACAAATGACAGAAAAAATTGTCTTTCTGCAAGCTTTCAGGCACACATGCCCTTCCTCACACATGCTTTACTTAGCATGCTCCCACACGGAGCCCAGTATATGCCTAGAAGCAGCAATACATTAATTGGACCCAGCTTGCCCAACATCTGCATAGATCAGGCACTTTAGTGGGGCTTTTTGGGGTACTTTTTTATCTAATAGCTGATTAAATCAGTTTTGGATAAGAGCATCAAAAAGCCCACTGAAGTGCCTGATCTATACTTTGACTCAGCTCTGCAGCATCTGTACCGCACTACTGCCTCTAGTAGAATGTGGGTTTTTAATGTCTGCAAGCAGCCTAAATGTTTCCTAATGAGTTTGTCTAAGTTGGAGGAGCTGTCAGGCAAGAGGAGGGAGCGCTGGTTGGTTCCAGTGAAGAGTAAGGGAGGGAGTATTTGTTTGCTCCTTTAAAAAACAAAAAAACAAAAACAAACAAACAAAACCAGATACCTAAAACAGTGAATCTAAGACTTCACTTTAATCACTGTTTCCTGCAGCTTTCTCCATCCTTTACACCTACCTCAGTGATTCGTAAGATGTATGAAAGCAAGGAAAAAAGCAAAGAAGAACCAGTTTCTGGGAAACTGAAAGCTGGTGATAGTAAAGATGAAGGTCAGAGGACAAATGAAGGTATTGTAATAGTTGTTCAAGAAGTTCACCAATGCACAAGGCTTACTGTTCTCAGTGGTGGTAGATGACAGAACAAGGAACAACAGTTTCATGTTGTAGCAAGGAAAGTTTAGGTTGCATACTGGGGGGGAAAATTCTCACTGGAAGGCCAGTAAAATGCACTGGAACAGGTTACCCAGAGAGGCTGTGGAACCTCCTTCCTTGGAGACTTTTTTAAGACCCAGCTAGACAGCCTTGGCTGGAATGATCTAGCTGGGGATGGTCCTGCTTTTGAGCAGGGGGTTGGACTAGATGACCTCCTGAGGTCCCTTCTGATTCTAATGAATTGTTCAGACCAAAACCTGTTGATTTGCTATTCCTTGACTTGTTTGCTGTTCTTTAGGACATGCTTGATCAGAGAAATTGAAACTACAAAAGTATATTTTAAACTTCCTCTAGCTTCTGAGAAACAAAACTGCTATGCATCTTCAACCCCCCTCTCACCTAAGCTTCAGGTTCTTTTAAAAACAGTGTAATGGTGTTGACTAGGTACTCTTCAGTATGCTCTGGAAATCTACATACTGAAGATAGCATAAGCAGAAAATCCTGTCCACAGGTCTACAAAGCATTATAAATCTATAGAGCCAAAAATTAGGTTGGTTCATTAAGAGTAACAATATTGGAAATACTTCCCCCACCAACTTCCCATTTTGAGGGAAGCTCTTGCAAATCAAAGTGCATGGCAGTCCTCCTGTGGTGTTTTAGCTAATCTCTTCTAAAGATGCTTAAGAGGCTAAGGACCCTCTATCTTAACAAATGAAGAACCATCTTGGCTAGAAGGATGTTTTTAGTGAAGATGAAATAAAACTATTGAGGCAACAGTAGAAGGAAATCTTGGTAGAGATTCCCCAACTATATTTTGCACCATCTTTTCTAAAGCAGGTAACATTTCCTCTTCCTCAGATTGCCTCATACTTGATTACTTCTTCTAATGTTATTTCTGGCTAACTAAAATAGCTGTAAATTCCCACATACACCATATAGACTTCAGGATGCTTCCAGTTGCATATAGAAACCCATTTTATAATCAAGCAAGTCATAGGAAGTCCAACTAAAATTCCTTGTTTTGAATCTAAAATTGAACAGAGGGCTGAAGAAATAATCTAAAGCTAAAATTGACAGCGTTCAATTGAAAGCAGTTGCCTCATAGTTTGCATGCGGGCCCAACTTATTCCAGCAATTATGCAAATGACTTCTAGGCATGAAATCAAAGGTGAAGGCCACATGTAACCCTAGAACAAAAGGTACATATTTTAGCCCAGGCAGGTGGCTAATTGGAATGGAACACATTGGAATCTGAGATTTTGGAGGAACCTACATTTGAGGGTTGTTGCTGATTTGTGGCTTGGATTTAAAAAATCTAGTTTTCAAATTGTTTGTTTATTGGAATCATGCAGAAAACCTTTCTCTTCAAGGAATGATCCTTTCTTGTCACTGCTGTCTTCACTTTTTTGTGTGTTAATGCTCATTTTTCTTCCTTGCAAGGCTTCCAGGTTGACTCCTTTTAATCTTTTATTTCTTCCAGATAGATCTAGCAAGTACTAGATTAGACTTAAATCTTTGTAAACCCTGTCTCCAGCTGTATTGGATTAAGTCCTGTTCTGTTCTGACTACAGATAACCTACTATGTAGCTCTGTGGAGAATGCAGACCAAGAAATCTTGCCCACGTTGGGTACCAAACTACCTGCACTGCAGCGCTCTGCATGTTCCACACCTCTTACTCAAACAAACCGTTGCATGAAAGAACAAGACTACAGGCCTAAATCAGCGGGCAGAAAGACTCCTACAATGGCGTCCCCAGTTCCAGGGGCTCCTTTCCTCCGTCCTGTTCACCAGGTACCCCTTGTCCCCCATGTACCACTTGTGCGACCTGCTCATCAACTGCATCCCGGATTGGTTCAAAGGATGCTGGCGCAGGGTGTTCATCCACATCTTTCTCTGCTGCAAGCAGGTAATCTTCCTTGTACCATTGTATGCATCTGCTAGGGGAAAACTTGTTTCTTCCTAAAACCCTAATACTAGGTACAGATAAAGAACTGTGTTTTCTATAAAAGAACTAGCCCATTTGTGGTTGTGTTTAATAGTCTTTACATAAAGGTACTGGAAAGAGATGCTTTACATGTAAAGTCTCTTAACCTTGCATTTCTGATGAGAAAAATTAAGCTTTCTCCTTTTTTTGTCTGGTCAATAGGTATGATTCCACCTGGAGTGGACTTGTCTCACTTGCAGGGATTATCTGGTCCCATCTTGGGTCAGCCTTTTTATCCAGTACCAACAGCTGGCCATCACCTGCTAAACCCACGGTCTGGGACACCTCTACAGCTTGCAATGATGCAACAGCAACTGCAGCGATCAGGTAGGCTAAGTAGAACCCAAAGGCTACTATAGGAATTCTTATGTTCTGTTAGCATGATAATACTAATTGCATCTGCACACTAACTAATTACTTTCAAGCCATACAAGGAATTGAGTTGGAGTAGGGCTGGAAGGAACCTCCAGAGGTCATCTAGATTCTAGTCCAACCCCCTACCTGAGGCAGGATCATTCCATAGGACCCATAATTTAAACCATCAAGTACATCCTAGTTTCCATGGAATTTTCCCAAAAAATTCTGTCTGCAATTGATTTCTTAATTATGGTATAATTAGACTAATGGAATAACTCTTTTAGCGGAACAGAAAGCTCTCTGCCCTTCATGGGAGTTATTGTTCACTACCACCCATTTAGGCTAAACAGCTCTTCCCTCTTTAGAGGGTAAGACCTTGGCTAACCCACATCTTGTTAATTTACCTTTTGATGCAAAGATAATCATGCTACCAGTCTTCCAGTGGAAGTCTGAAGCAACAGTGCCTTCCTGAACTGGGAAAATACTGTTATCTCTTTTTGCCAAACCACCTGAACAAAATTGTGACCCTGTGGGAGTGCACACATGCAAAATCCAATCTGCATAGTAGCCATGTGGTCATATAAATTTTGTTTTAATAATTGAGGACATCCTCCTCCTGTTAACTCTCTTGACATTTTCTGTACTGTATAGGCTCTGGAGCACAGGGATCAGCTGTTGGTGTGCAAACCACCCCCCAAAATGTGCCATCTCGGACTGGACTGCCTCATGGACACTCACAGCATGACCACCGCACCAACCAGAGAAGTAGTTCCCCTATTGGCCTTGCAAAATGGTTTGGGTCAGATGTTTTGCAGCAGCCTCTCCCTTCTATGCCATCCAAAGTCATCAGCGTAGATGAACTGGAATACCGGCAGTGAACTCCAAGAGGATATTTGCTTGTTTAGAGTGGATAAAAATGCCTAGTCAGGATCTCTTGCATTTCACCTAGGTTGTTTTGGGTTTTTGTGGGGCTCTTTATTTTTGGCACTGTGTGCAGAATTTCTTTTCAAGAGACTAAAGCACATGGCACCTGTCCTGGTCTCCATGTCTGCATCGGGACTAAAGGATCTAATAGGGCTTAAAGTGAAGCCTGAAGCAATGTGGATGCAAGACAGACAGTTTAATCCTGGAAGTCTCTTCCTTTTGACTTTTTTTTTTCTTTTTTGTAAGATATGTGAATGAAATGCTGAAATCCTCTTATCTAGAGGTAGCAGCTAAGGGTTCCTCCTACAGAAAAATGTATAGACTTTGTGTATAGACTTGTATAAACAATCTTTTGTATATACACTTAGGATAGCTTTTTTTTTTTCTGACCCTATACAGCTGTACATAAGAGTAGAGCAGTTGAGCTTTAGTTGTGCCTCCTGGTTTGGATCTTTCTCCATTGTACATGTGGGACTTTGTTTGTTTAAGATTTAAAATTGCATATCCTAAGTGTGCGAGTGAACAGGATAAAGTTGCTTTGCCTTTTCTTGCTGCTCATCTCCTTCCAGAAGTCTCCCTTCTCCAGCTCATCCCCCTGTCATCTACTGTGCACCCAGTGTAGCTAAAGGTGTTGAAGTAAAAGCCCACATCTTGTTCCTTGTACAACAGATCTGACTCCCTGTTGCTCTTTTCCCCTTCTCATTAAAGGAGGGAGCAGTTAACTTCATAACTGCTTTATAGATGGGCCTGGCATGGAGATCAGAGTAAGCTAGTCCTTACAGTCTACAGTCTGACTGCTGTCTGCTGCTCCATAATTGGCTAGAACAGATGTATCTTGTAGCAGCTATAATGTTTGCACACAGTTGTCATGATGCCTACAGCAGGGCTGGTGCTGGTCCCTATTTAGCTGAGGTATTATTTTTGGTTTTTTTGTTTAATTTGACTTACTCCAACATTTAAAGGTTGACAAAATAGAGCCTTTCAATTCTTACCCTTCCAGTATTTTGGCCAGTTACAGTAACTTGTTCCATAATACCTCCAGTTATATTTCTGGAGGGGAATTCTGCACTCTCTTGCACCTAGCATGCATCAATTTATGCAGTTACTGTAACAATGATTTTTTTTCTTTTCTGTGCGTGTGGGGGGGGTTGGGTTTTTTTTTTAAGGGAGAGCTAGTTCTGTGATCTTATACTTAGGGATTTTTTTAATACTGTGTTCCTCTTTTTTCTTTTTTAAGCCTATGCTTCACTTTCCTGAGCAATTTAAGCATTCTCCATATTTCTACTGCATGGTTCCTCACTTTTTCACTTGTGTTGAGTCCAGTATTAGTCATGTCTTGTTTTAAATTAGACCATTGTGCTCTTTTAAAAGGTGAAAGCACAACCCAGAATTCTCTCACCAAGACTTGCTTCCCCTCCCACAAATAGTCTAATTGAATGCAAAACCAGCAGCAGAAAACCACTTAACTATACTATGAGTGCTGACATGCTGTGGTGGGATTGTTCCAGGCTGATGGACCCTTTTTTTTTTTTTTTTTTTTTTTTTTTTTTTTTTTGGAAACTGCTGTCCAGTCAGGCTGGCCTCCTGTTACACTTCCCATTCTTCTGT